CTGAAATAAATTAAGTTCAAGTTGAAGCACCAAAATGACTAAAACAAGAATAAAAATAGATGAAAGCTACATAGATTAAAAAAAAATAAAAAAATCTAATGATGACAAAAACACAGAACAAAATGTCTAAAACTAAAATTAAAATGAGAGCTGAAATAAAATAAAACTTAAACATTAGACGAAAACCTACTTTAAAAAAAAACTTAAACGAAAATAGAAATGTTGCCTTGGCAACTGACTGAAATAAAACAAGTGTAAGTTGAAGCACTAAAAACACTAAACCTAAAACACACCAAATAACAGCACAAACATTGATAATACTGATAATAAAGCTGTTTATTCTTCCACTGTCTGCACTGATCGGATATAAAGACATTATTCATGAATTACAGATTTCCTCACAGTTGTGTTTTTCTCCAGTGGATTTTGTCACGTTGTAAGAGACGTCTAGCTGTTCTAACGTCGTCCAGTGATTCACAAGAGAAAGAGTGAAGTCATTATCAATTAAAGCTCTCGCCTCCCTGAAGCTCAAGATTCTTAAGCAGTATTGATATCTGCATTATCTATGTGAATATTAAAATCCCCAGCAATAGAAAAACAGTCAAACTTTGAGGAAATCATTGAGAATAGTTCTGTAAAGTCCTGGACAGTGGCTAGAGAGTATTTCGGAGGCCTGTAAATAATGATAAATAAAATGTGTGGAGCACATTTTAGCACACTACCCAGATATTCAAAAGACAAGTAATCACCAAATGACGCTTGCATTGATAGTCATCTTTAAATAGAGCAGCTACATCTCCACCTCTCCTAACAACTCTGCAATCACTCATAAAAGTAAAGTTAGGAGGGGCAGTTTCATTGAGGACTTGCACTACAGCTGTCTTCTAGCCACGTTTCTTTTAGAAACATAAAATACAGGTTGTTTGTGGTTAAGTCATTGATCATAAGTGATTTATTTTTATGTGAGCCGATGTTTAAAATGCAAACTTGACAGCTTTACTTGTCCTCACAGCAATCTTAGTTTGACGTCGTGCGAGTCTGTTATTATTAACTACAACTAAAACTATTCAAAATCGATTTCATTAACTCAAATAAAGCTGAAACGTAAAAATGAAAAACTTAGATGAAAAACTTAGATTAGAAATGTTGCCTTGGCAACTGAAATAAAATTGAAGTACAATAAAATAAAGCACTTTAACTTGAAGTACTAAAATTACTAAAACTAAAATAAAAATAAAGAAAATATTTAAAAACGAATGAAAAAATGACAAAAGCAATATAAAAACAATTAAAATAAATGCTAAATAGAAATATTTAAAAAAGATAAAAAACAGCACATAGCACATTACTGAAATATAAATGTAAATGTGAAACTAAAATTTCACATTTACAAATGAAAAATGAAAGTTAAATAGAAATATTTGAAAAAGGAATAAAAAGCTGAAATAAAATATAAATATTAGATGAAAAACTTAAACTTATTTTAGTTTAGTTTTCTTTTAAGTTGAACTTGAAGTACTAACATTACTAAAACTAAAATAAAATAAATGAAAGCTAAATAGAAATATTTAAAAACAGATTAAAAATGACAAGTACATAAAATTACTGAAACTGAAATTAAAATGAAAGCTAAATGGAAATATTAAAAACAAAGAATAAAAAATGACAAACACAAATTTACTGAAATTAAAATGAAAACTGAAATAAAATATAAATATTGGATGAAAACCTGAAACTTATTTTATTTCAGTTTTTTTTTTAAGTTTAAGTTTTTCATCCAATATTTATATTTTATTTCAGCTTTCATTTAATTTTCGTTTCAGTAATTTTATGTGCTTTGGTCATTTTTAAATATTTCTATTTAGCTTTCAATTATTTTATTTTAGTTTTAGTAATTTTAGTACTTCAACTTAAACTTAAATTACTAAAAAAAGAAAGCGAAATATTATTAGAAACCAATAAAAATGGCAAAAGCACATTGAATTATTGAAAATAAAATTAAAATGAAAGCTGAAATAACTTAAAAAACTAATTAAAACTGAAATAAAAAGTTCAAATTGAAGTAATAATAACTAATGACTAAAACTTAAACTGAAATCAAAACAAATGAAAGCTAAATATAAGGTAAAAAACTAATAAGAATGCACAAAGGCACATATTTCTAAAACTAAAATTAAAACCGAAAATATAAAAATTCAAAATAATTCAAAATACTGTATTAATAAATACTAAAACAGTATATAAATAATATAAAAAACAACAACATCGAAAACATGGCATTGTTTGATTTAAATCTAACTTTTTGAGATAAAGTTTTAGAATTGTTATGAAAATTTTTAGCATAAAACAAATCCTAAATATTTCAGATTGTGCTGTATTTCTAGGTGACATTTTCTCATGCTGAAGAACAGGATCATCAGGTTTACTTCTCAAATGGCATCAAATCAGAACAGAATGCAAAACAGAGATATTTCACTAGTGCTCAAATGCTAGTAGAATTGTATGTTTGAATCAAATTCAGCTCGTGATATTCGAGTGAACACGAGCCCTGAAGAGATATCTGCAGCTCTTATTGTAAATCCACATGTTTATTTTGAAAATGAACTGATATGACGCCGTCCTAGTTTTCATAAATGCTCTATTTATATAAATCACAGCCCATCAGCGGCAGACGCTCTGAATTCATGCATAAGTCATAGTGAAGCTTCAGATCCGCTGAGGTTTCCAGATGCGTCTCATCCAACATTAAACACTCCAGTCACATGAATCAAGTCTGATATTATAGGATCAGGTAATACATTCAGAGCATAATGCAAACACACACACACATACACACACACATGCATAACGCAGTGTGTGTTTGTCACGTTGTCTGTAGGCTGACGTTAATATTGTCCTGTCCGATGGATCTGAAGAACTTCCCGATGGATGCACAGACCTGCACCATGCAGCTGGAGAGCTGTGCGTATTAACATCTATATGTGACCCTGGAGCACAAAACCAGTCATAAGGGTCAATTTTTCAAAATTGAGATTTATACATCATGTGAATGTTGATTAAATAAGCTTTCCATTGATGTATGGTTTGTTAGGATAGGACAATATTTGAAAATCTGGAATCTGAGGGTGCAAAAAAATCTAAATATTGAGAAAATCATCTTTAAAGTTGCTCAAATGAAGTTCTTAGCAATGCATATCACTAATCAAAAATTA